TGCAATTTCCAGGTTTTCGTCCCCTTCCGGGAATTTCAAAACAGGGGCATTGATGAGTGCTTCTTTTAACCTTTCAAATACAGTATTTGCCTCTGCTGTCCACGTAAACTTACTTTTTTTTTTCTTTTAATAGCTAACAACGGTTCAACAATGTTCGCGAAATCTTTTTTGAACGACCGATAATAAGAACATAACCCAAGGAAAGAAGAAAGTTTCTTGGCAGTGTTGGGAGGTGGGAAATTCTTGATGGCTTTTATTTTTGAATCCTGAGTTTCTATACCCTTTTGCGAAATTTTATAACCCAGATATTTAAGTTCTTTAGTTGCGAACTTGCATTTTGATGCGTTAATTGTAAGACAGGCCTCTTTTAATAATTTAAAAACCTCTTGCAAGTCTTTAATGTGTTGTTCCAACGTACTACTCGTTATAATTATATCATCTAGATATATTAAAGTCGATTTCCTAGAACATGCTTTAGAACAATGTCCATAGCTCTCTGGAATGTTTACGGTGCCCCACACAACCCAAAGGGCATGCGTAAAAACGCATTAGTGCCCGATTTTGTGATAAACGCGGTTTTATGTATATCTTCAGGTCTCATAGCTATTTGATAGTAGCCAGACGTAAAGTCCAACGTAGTCATGTATCTCGTAGACGTAATCTTTCTAATAATTTCCTCTATTACCGGCAAAGGGTAAACCGGGAACTTAGTAATACTATTAAGCTTTCTGTAATCGATAGCAAAGCTCCAATCCCTTTTATCCGAAGGAGGGAAATCGTTCTTTTTCCTACATAGTACGACTGGACTCGCGTACTCACTATTTATGGGCGTTATTATCTGGTTCTGCAGCATTTTTCCTGAATGTGTTCCTCAATAATTTCCTCTTTCTGTTTATCATACCGGTAGGGTTTAGTCCTACAGGGTTTATCGGCAGTTAGTTGTATATCATGCGTAACAATCTGACAGTTACCAGGCCGTTCTGAAAACAAGTTTGAAAAAGTACTCACCACTTGCTGGATGGCTTGGCTTTCATGGACACTCAAATGGCTAAGGTCTACCTGCGATTGTTTCACTGGCTCCACCACCCTCCGGTCCATCTCCAGCATGATCGAATTTTCCTGAAAATTTAGCTTGGCTTTTGCGGCTTTTAAGGACTCCATGCCTAAGATGACTGGACTCTGTAAATTTTTCACCACAAAAATTAATACTTTAAGGCTCTCCTCTTTTATCTGTATTTTTAATGATAATTTCCCGATACATTGACAGATTTTTCCTTGGGCCGCTATAATATGTGTGTTTTCATTTTTAAATAACCGCAACCTATTAAAATTCTTCCTAAAAAATTTATCACTCATAAAATTACCTTCTGCCCCTGTATCAATGATTGCTTCCACTGGTACATCGCCAACCAGGACTTGTATAATTGGTAATTGGGAATTCTTTACCACGACCGTGTTTAAGTATCTTCTTGAGGGTTTTTTTCGAAACTTCCGGGGTCTGGACCCTCGCTTTTACAGGCCCCTCTACTCGTTTAAAGCTTTCCTTTCAACTTCAGTCTTTTGGGTTCGCGGACGGTTGTTTTCAATTTTCCTTTTTGGGCCTTGACCTTAGAGGTTCGATGAGTTGGCTTGATAGCTCTTTCCCCCATAAGAGCGATTTGTGTTTCCAATCTGTTGATTTGAGAATTGCCTTCGGGGACCTTGAGAATACGATGCCCCTCTAGATTTTTCCGCTATTCTTCGGTTTTGGAACTTGACCACCAACTCGAAGCGTTCCTGCAAGGTGCTTGGATTTCGGATTTCGAAGTAATCTTGGACGGCAGGTAGCAATCTTGCTCAGATTTTTTTATCTCCGTGTCGGGTTTCTTTCCATACAGCATGTCCGTCAGCTTAACTTTTCGCAGAATAAAGTCCGTCAAATCTTCCATATTACGTTGATACAAACTATACATGGCTATTGGAAAGGGATGGACTCTGACCTAAGGTGAGCTATAGCTACCAAACAGAGTAACCCATCCCTTCCAAAATAAAAAAAATCCACTATCCGCTAGCCAAAGCCAGGGACAGTATGGCAGAACCAAACGGCATTTATTTAATCAAAAAGTAAAAAATTACATAGACAATAAGTGTAAAAGATACAATAGGATATATAAAACAAAATATTAAACAAAGTGATAAATATAATATGCAACTTCCACGACGATTGTTCAATAGCACAGTTATTACATATAAATTCTATATGCCCAATTGTGTACAGGTTCGTCTCCATAATCAGGATAAAAATGTTCTCACAGTCATCAAGTGTGCAGAGCACGCTACTGTTGATCTTATTAGGCATATAGTCCAAAAGTCGCTCGTCCAAAGACAAGTCTATATAAAACGTGTTGAGTTGTTGTGAAAGAAGTAAGCGTGATGTCAATAAAATTGCAAAGGAGGAATGCAATTATAAATTGTTTGATGTCCACACTCTCCTCCACAACTGTACCAAAGTTGGATGGCACGGCATTTCTAAACTGGAATTCCAGTCCACACATGAGGGGACAAAGTCTGTTTTGGTGATTGAGCCAGTAATACAGTGTTCAAAATGTAAATTGAAATTCTTTTCCCTTTAGTTCACTTCTTCACTCACCCAACCATCAGCAAAACGTGCAATTATACGGAGAGAATAAAACAACAACTTGTCAGAATGGATAATCAACGTATTTTGTGAGTTGTTACATAGTAAGCATGATGTCAATAAAATTGCAAAGGAGGAGTGCAATTATAAATTGTTTGATGTCCACACTCTCCTCCACAACTGTACAAAGTTGGATGGCACGGCATTTCTAAACTGGAATACCAGGTCCACACATGAGGCGACAAAGTCTGTTTTGGTGATTGAGCCAGTAATACAGTGTTCAAAATGTAAATTGAAATTCTTTTCCCTTTAGTTCACTTCTTTACTCACCCAACCATCAACAAAACGTGCAATTATACGTTATCACCACCATTGCTTAGAAAAACATGAGAAAAACATTCTGAATATGACATATAATATGATGCTGAATTGTATTAAAAGGTTACTAATACAAAACTTTAATAAAACGTATGGCAGAAGTGCACACGGTAAATGAAAATTCGAAGTAGAACTGATATTCATGTCTGTCAAGTCCACGTTTTCACCCGCGCAATCATCTCCGGCAAGACGTGCTTATATTCATTAACACTACCATAATTTAAAATTACAGGAGTAAAACTTACTAAGAATGTCACTTTAAATGTTGCTAAATCATGCTAGAGTACTATCTGTCGCAAAACTGAGAAAAAGCAAAGCTGAAGTACATCATGTGGAAGATTCATGTGGTACATCATGTGGAAGACTTCTAGCTTTGCTCGGTCTTTCACTATGGGGAAGATCTTTAATAATGATATTTTAAAATTTTCAAACGTATATGTTCCGAATTCTCCTAATAAAAATTTCCCTATACTCTTCCACCGTAGCGAGGCCTGTCCTCTTAGTGCAGACGTGGCAATGGAAACTTTTTGTCTTTCAGGCACAGGGTATAACCGGAAGTGATTTTCGAGGCCTTCTAAGAATATCGCCACCGAATTTTTTCGGTCGAAATTGACGTTTGGCTTGATAGATGCTCTCATCGTTTGGACCAGATATCCAAATCCGTCTAACTGGTTCGCCATTTCTTGCTGTTGGAGTTGTACAGGAGCCTCCATGCAGTTATCGGCCATCTAAGTTCGTAAGATGTTCGGGCGCCAATATAGTGTTGCGTAGCCCCAACTTGTCAGCAACTATGGTAGTGACTGCTATGAACTGTAAATTACACAAACTCGTAAGAAAGTTTAAATCCCTGTTTATTCCACTTTAGAAATAACAGCTGCGTTCACTTGACGCTCACAAACTACGCCGACCCGGCGGTTTAACAAAAACAGAACTGTGAAACTAAAAATTAATGGCAGGATGAATAAACAACTAGATCACTACCTACGAGGCTCTAAAATCGTAACTAACTTAACCGCGTTCTAAAATACAGCTGAGATTCAGCAAGCTTACTGATTAAGAAGTTGAAAGATTCAACGAACTGCCGAGATAGGCACACAGGCCGAAACGCGCGGTTCTTAAATTTCTACCTAGCAACCTTCACGTTAGCGATTCGAGAAGCACACAATACAATCTCGTTTCCCTTCTATTTAAACTCAACTTACTTCTGCTAAAATTTGAATATACTGCGCGTTGTCTACTACAATTTACATACTCTGGCATTGGCAATTCTAGGGTAAAATGAAGGCTTGACAGGAAAGATAGCTTAAAATAAATGTTAATAAAAATAAATATAAACCCTACAAGCTACCTAGACAATATACAAGTTCAGGTCACACTGGACAGAGCAACGGTGACCAAATCCCTACAGAGAGGCTGCTCACAAGTGTACTGCCTCGGGCCGACCTTGTGGAACCTAGTTGCAAACACCGTTTTTGCTCTGTTTGAAAACCAAGGAGTCAAACTGATAGCCTAGCTGATGACTTTCTCTTAACAGTGGCAGGTCGCTTAAACCTGAGCAACAGAACACAAGATTGCCTGAACGTTATTGCACAGTGGGCCAGAGAACATAAACTTGAACTCTCCTTCGAAAAAACGCAAGCTCGAGGCTGCGACGAAACCCCAGCCTCTTGAGCCTCTTGAGCCCCAGCCAACTTGAGGCTGCGACGAAACCCCAGCCTCAAGTTACTTGGAAATAGAATTAAATATGTTACTGATGTTAAGTATGTTGGAGTAATCATAGATTAGAGATTTTCCTGGCTCCCGCACATCACGATGCTAAAGCAACGCATCAATCTCCTTACCAATGCTATGCGGGGAATGATAGCTATAAGATGCTGGCTGTCTCCCAAAATTCTGCGCATTTGGTATAAAACGGTTACTGAGAAGATTATGCATCAGTATGGGGTACACGTCTTAACACCAACTTTCGACATATACTGAAACTATACAGCGGCAACAACTGCTAATGATTTGCAAAGCTTATAAAACTTCCCCCACAGCAGCCGTACAAGTACTAGTGGGTACGCCACCCTTCGATTTGGTCATAGAGCGTGAGGGTGCAATAGGAAATGTCACAAGACTGCGACGACAACATACGCTATGGGGTGAGACTTACAACCATGAGGAATATGAAGAGCATAGGCCAGTTATTCCCCGTCATCCGGCGGAAAACAACATTGACACATATATCTCCATTTCGAGAGCAGTTCGAGACATACAGCCTACGGGTCTTTTTACCGATGGTTCTAAGACATCGGCAGGAACTGGCAACGCATTCTGTCCCATCTCAGACGGGAAAGTGATGCATGTATGGAAAAGAAGACTGGCACACTACAACTCCGTATATCAGGCTGAACTGCTGGCCATCAGTGCTGCTCTGAAGTATAGCGCAGAAGTTGAAGGAGCTCCCACACAGATCTACTCTGACTCGGCCTCCAGTCTGGCGGCCATAGTTAACGAGAGATCACGTAGCTCGCTAGTTCAAGAAATTAGGCGGTAGCTGTTACAATCAACCAGGAGCACGCGCCAAGTCTCAGTTGGGTGCCGGCTCATACAGGTCAACGAGCTGGCTGATGCTGCGGCAAAGGAGGCAGCCAGCTCCACTGACGTCAATGAGGAAGGCACATTAAAGCCGATCTCTTTCATCAAAAGACAGACGTAAGAACAATTACTGTCTCAGTGGTAACAGAGATGGGCTCAGAGCACCACGGGTCGTAGGGTCTTTAAGTTTATCCCAAAAGTCAAGACCGATACACAATCTCACACTTATTTTATGACGCAGTTTTTAACGGGACACGACCCATTCCTCACGTACAAATTTCGCTTTGGATTCGTAGATCCTGCGAATCCTGCGGACACCTGCGAATGTGGTGAGGTATGTTAGCCTGACCATCTCTTCTTTTCATGCACCCTCAGAGCCCAGTACAGGCTCAAAAAGCCTAATGATAATTACTGGCCCCAATGGTTCCAAACTACAGAAAGACTAAGACAAAACTAGCTAAAAATCAAGGCTGTAATAGATGAATGCGTAATAATGTACAAGGCAGAGCTCAGAAACAGGAGTGCAAATTTGCAGTAACGATCATAGTGGTCCATTTGAAAGCCCTTACACCTCAGTGTTTACACACCGGTACACATTTGCTGGCTGGACATATAGTATCTCTGTGACTATGGCCAACATTGACTTATCAAACCTTACTAATTAGAGACATCAGCTAGCGCATGGCTACCTACTTCTGATTGTCAACTGGTAGTTACACTGTAATGCATCACCTTCATATGGAGGTGTGCACTCGCACATGAACTACAACATACAGTACATAACTCATGTATACTCGTAAAGCTCCTACACTGTTCTGTCTGTACCCTATTGATGGTAACCACTAGCATTTCTCTATGTATTGTTAAATTTCTATATATATAATTGTACCAATACCATATGAATGTCTATTATTAACTTTGTAACTCTATGTAAATCTACGCACTTGTATCTCTTAATCATATGTAATGCAACAACAGTGCAAGTATTTTCGTATTCAGTTCTAATCCCCTATTACTTGATTTATGCAGTATGACAATAGAACGTAAGCAACTCTTCAAGAGCCCCTTAACCGGCCCATGTTGTGAGCCCCCTTTGTTTTTTCAGAAATAGAACATTAAATTTGCCGTCTCCACGGAGTTGTGTCACCGTGGGGTGGTCCTCTCTGGCATCTTCCTGCTGGGCTGGCACTCAATTCCGTATGGGTATGCCCAGATATATCCGGGGCGGAAGCCAGCTCTGCGGTTTAAACTCGAAATTTAGAGCCTAGATTTCGAAGTTCTAATCCGGCGCGATGGAGCTGCGCTTTGGTAGAACGTTTTTGAGAGATTGAAAAATCAGGCTTCTGCTTAAATTTTGGCAACAAAAGCCCAAGGAAACAGTCCAGGAACGCTTCATAGATGTCGAAAGGCTGTCTCATCTTGCGTCTTCAGACTGCCCAACAGAAGCAAGGGAAATACTGTCCCCGCAGTACTTCGTCGATGGCATCCGAGTTCGTGAGATACGGAAAGCCCTGCGAACAGCGGATGTCAATGATTTAAAAGCGCTTTAGTGTACGCCGTAAAATTCGAGGCAACCCAGCAGAGACTGTCATTAAATCAGAGCGTCTCCTATCCAGGAGCCAGTGGGTCAACATGACTGCTCGTCTAGACGATTTAACCAAGCAAATTCATGACTTGATGCGGAATAGGAGTGGCAGCCAACCGCCCCTAAACTCTTGGAATAGCGGCGGTGAAAGCCACGTACGAAGATTCTGCACTCCGAACAAAAACCAAGGCTCCAAGGCACGGAAAATAATGTCGCTCCGCAGCAAGAACGCAGGAATCAAATTAGTGGCCATCGCGCGGATTGGACTTTGACAGATATTGACAAACCCCATTTTAAAGCACTTCATAACTCTGCAATGAGTGGCGGCAGTAATGGACTTTCTATCATGGAACATATCAATGTAGTTCCTTGCAATATGAAACATCGATTCTGCAGCCAATGTTACTATCATCCGAAAAGATTTAGCTCAACAGTTGGAAGGTTGAACTCATCTATACGCCGCTATGTGTTACCTTTCTATACCTTCCCTAACGTTACATTCCTAGTATCAGGTAATAGAATCGGAATTGAGTGAAAGTTAAACATTAATATCACATTTGGGAGTGCCGCTTACCATCACACGGCATATGTAGCAGACATTACTTGCTGTGCTAGCAAGCCGGCATCTACCTTCAGACTATCGCTTCAAGAATCGTCATCGTATCGTCCAAGCCTTTGGTGGCAGTTGTTGGACCGGTTTTTTTCCTCTTCGCTACTGGGAGTTCAAGGGTGAAGGACGGGCTTCGGCCTGTCTCTTCACGGAATGTATTTTCACCTACACCCATGTCTTGAGGCACGTTTAACTTCCCTGAAAAGTCCGATAACTGTAATTTTTTTATTGAATATCTTCATTCTATATGCAGCTGCTGAAAATTCATCCTGGGTGGAATGAAGATTTAAAACAAGAATTTTAACGATCTCATTGTGCAATTTGAGACTCGTCCATTGTCTATCGCCACGTGGTGACTGCTTCAAATTAATTCACTGGTAGAAGCTTCAAAATCAAAAGAAATTTCAAGATAAGTATATTCCGGGTCTACATATTTCTTCGATTCCAGATATTTCGTGATCTATAGAAAGTGATGCAAATGGATAGTGCTCTGTAGTATATCGATAAACGAATGGACGCTCTGTATTTATAGTAGGACTATAGTTATGATCTGATATTTAATTTTCTTGTTTATTTGTGTGAGCTCAGCAATAAAATATTTTGATAGGAAAGATAAATAGTAGATGAATAACTTGTATTTTCTTCTTCAACTATCACGAAGTCTGGGTTAAGTACTTTGTTTTGCTATCCTCTGTGGGTCACATATTTTATCCCAATCATTCGGGTTATTGCGGAAACAACGTGATGTACTCTTAATCATTGTTATAACTTCATCGCTGATAAAATTGATATTCAAAATTTTGGTTATCACTTATACACCTGAATAATTATATTAAATATTTCTCATAGCTTACAGAAATTAACACATTTTTCATTACATAAGAAATTAAAATATATAAGTATTTTTACTGCTAATAATAATTTTTACTACATATGGTGCCGTGACAAAAGAAATAACTTAAAATCATTTAGTTCAGGTTGAGAATTCAAATAAAATGTGTGACCTATAGTATATTGCTACACATATGATTTATATTGTTGAAAATTTATGATAAATGATGGGTAATATGCCATGAAAGAGTAATTCTATTTTGGATAATTTAAAAATTTAATTTCATATGTATTGTTATATATATGTGCATATTTAAAGAAAGTTTTAAGATATTTGAATCAAAAGCTGATTTTAGTAATTTCATTGGATTGTGGTATGTAATGATAAAATAATATTCAGTACTCTTATATGCATGTTTGGTAAATGTATATGTAAATTATCAGAGAGTGTGTTAAGTGTTTGTGTAAAATAATGTAGATCTCAATAACATTAAAATAGAAATAGCAGATTGTAAGGTAATGCAACATAAGTAACTATATTGCTTCATCCATGTCAAAGCTTAAAGGTAGATCTAACACTGGTATGGCAACTTCCCTAGCTTCTGCTCTGCCCACATTTAGTGGCAACTTATCTGAAAATGTAAATTTCTTTCTTGATCAAATAAATAGTGTTGCTAAATTAGAAAAATGGTCAGATGAAAAGAAAATAATCATTCTGAAAATAAACTGTAGGGATAAAGCTCTAGATTTCCTAATTAATGATCCAAGAGTGGCTAAGAAAAATAAATTTGAAAATTCAGAAAAATTATTAAAGAATAAATTTGCACGAGTTGAATCCTTTCAGGACATTCTACAGCAATTCTCAAACATTTCTCAAAATTGTAACCAATCTGTTAAGGAATTAGCTGACGAGATTACTACAACAGCGACAAAATACATAAATGAAGATTCGGTTGAGGATTCTAGTTTACATAAATTAAAAGAGAAAATGAAGCTCACTAAATTTCTTGAGGCCCTCAGAACAGACATTAGGATTGAAGTTAAGAAATTAGGTCCATCTTCCTTTGATAAGGCTGTAGAATTGGCAAGTAATATAGAAAATGCATTGAACGATGAGAAAACATATTTGAACAGTATAAATGTTGAGCAAAATTTAGAGATTAATAATCTTCTCAAAGAAAGACTTGAACAGAATAAAATTATTCAGGAGCTAACAGATAAAGTAAATCAACTTTCTCAAAATAAGCCTATAAACACATCTTATACAAGAATAAATCACAATGCTTCTACATCTCAAAATTCTAGCAACTTTAATAGTGTATCTTGTCATATATGTAGCAAAAGACACTTAACAACAGATTGTTGGTATTTTCCTAGGCAAGACCAGCATAATTTTAGAAACAACACATTCAGGGGACACAGACAATTTCGAAACACTTGGCGGAGGAACTATCATCCTTACAGAAATAATAGTCAATACAAAAAAGGTCAGAATAAGCATTTAAACTAGCTAAGGATTCTTGCCAGATATATTACAACAAAAATTTTAGACCCCTTGCAAGAATCCGCAGAGACTGGGGTTATAAAGAACACCTGTATAGACATCGTAATCCAAAAAAGATCCAAAGTAGCAGCAATAATGTCCAACACAAGTTTGCAAAAAATAAAAGATGTAATAATAGAAACTCAACCAAATTGTTGATGTCTTGTAACTCAGAAAATTCTAATTATCTGCCAATAATCAAACTTAAAATTGGTTCTCAGACTTATGAAGCTCTTCTTGATACTGGTGCAAATTTATCTTTAGTCCAACCAGATGTTATTGAGGAAATTAAACAATTCACTAAAGTTGAATTTGTTTCTCGGATGGTAAGAATAAAAACTATTGAAGATTCATGCATCCCTTACATGTCTGCAGTTAATTTAAAATTCA